GCCGGCGCGGCCGCGCCGAGAGCGGCTTCCATGGGGTTGCGGCATCGCTCTCTCCAGGCCAACAGCTCGTGCTGAACTGGCTCTTTAAAACAAGAATTCCTTGGAAGGGGGAACTGTAAGGGAAACGCACGAATGGAAACGCCTACAAAAGCGCATTCAGATAAAAATATATCTGAAAACACAAATAATTTCTTATAAAGTATTATTTCATAGGGTATAAGTGTCTGTATTATTGTCCCAAAATTCTTTCAGACTATGTAACTCTGGCATGAAGAACTGATGACGTATCATGAAGTTGAAGAAAAGTTATTACATTTTTGTTAACAGCAGTGACTTAACAACTTACTGAAATACTAAGTCTTTATAGACCAAACTCCTCCCTATTTCTTCAAAGGGAACTTCACATTTGGATCTAAAAATGACCTTTTCATCACCACTAATTAATACAACTGCCTTTCATGTTTTTCATGTGCCTATTGTTCCTACCTCATGACAGAATATTTAATGAGAATTCATTTTCTGTTTCTAAAATGCATGTGTCTTGCAACCAAACTTAAGGCTCCTTGACACATTTTCTTTTCTGGCACAAGACTAACAATCAGATTACATCCCAGGATCACACTAACAAAATTGAATCAACAACAACTGAAGTTGCCTTTGGGTTTTCTTAGGATACAAAAGTCTCACCTGTCCCGACTCAGGCTAATGGTCCTTCCTCATGGCCACAGACCAAGAAAGACTGAACCTTCCCTCTGCTCCTGCTCCCTCAAACAGATGGCTGCATAAACCTGGAAGAATGACTGCAGATCATTTTAGCCCTCAAAACAGTCACAAACCTAAGGAAAAGCATAGCTCAGACACAAGTCAAACATGCAACAGTAACATGGTATAATTTGGGTTTCTTTTGGGGGGTGGGTGGAGGGTATTTTATGGCAAATACTCATTAGGAAATAGGTTGGTGGAAAGATGACAGGCAGAGTTCAGTCTGGTTGATGACAGCTTTTACAGACTCTTTGGCATGCAGGTGTTTTAACCTACAGCTTTTAAACACTTTGACAACTGAGGACAAACAGTATCCATGTTATATTTGAAATATGCAAGAAAAATGGACTACTTAACACATGCACCATTTACATATATTTGAAAAATACCTTTATGGTTGGGCTCTTTTTACTTAGGATCTAAATTAACTTCAGTCTTCACAGTCTATGTTGCTTTCCTTTCTGAGGCACCGGACAAATAGGACGTGCGAATAGGACATCATTAGCAAACGTTGAAGACTCTGTAGACTGTCGGGGATTGCGGCTGGACTGCCGGCGGACTCGGGGCTGGCGCTCCTACCCCCCCGGCAGCCCGGCGTTGCCAGCGGCAGAGGCAGGGGCTGGCCAGGGCAGCAACCATTTACTGCGTGGCCGAGGCAGAGCTGGTGGACGTGGCACTGGGGGTTCTGGCCGAGGTCAGAAGCTGCAGCGCGAGGAAGCGCAGGAGAAGACCTGCAGCACGGCCAGCATGGAGGAGCGCAGCAACTGCGACAGTAGACGATTATCAAACTGCTGCCTGAGCACTGATGAAAACTGTTTGGACTCTGATCAATTTACTAATGAACATAATAAAGCTTTAAAAGTATCAAAACACAGAAACAATTCACATTTCAGAAGGTGAAGGTTCCCAAGCTCTTCCTTTTGGAAATGCAGAAGCATCCCATTATTTAACAAGTCATCACATCCACAATTTATCCCATGAGGTACATTTACCCAATAGTATTTACAAAGCAACCAGCTGTAGCATTTTGCTAGCACAAGTAGCAGGACATTATCAGCAAATCACAGCTGCTGTCTTGTGGCCACCCACAGCAAATGACCTGATCCACTCTTCAGCTGATACAAATGATAACTGACACCAACAGCAGACAGAGCTCCTGGATCCAAGGAAAGGAGACAGAAAGGAGGCATTGCAATATACTGAAACAACCTGTCTGCCGGCAACCATCCTGAGATCCTAACCACCTAGGAGCAGTTTCCCCACTAGCTGTTTGCGCTGCCTGCTTCAACAGCTGCTCATTTCGTAGCAGGCCCTTTGCCCTGGCACCTTCGCCCCTTCGCCAACTGATGCAGCCCGAGCTCTGTGCGTCGCTCGGCGCATGCTCCACGCCAGCAGCTCTGCCCCTCTGCCACCTTCTGTCAGGAGGACGACGTTGGCCATGGCGATGCTCAGAAATTCAGGTTTCCGGCATCTCCAGGAAAAAAAGTAATAACTGCTCTAAAATTTTGGTCGAGCAGAAATCTGTAAAAGCACATCTAAACTTGTTTCAAATCAAGTTGCAACTTGCATACAGAACTTAGGCTCACCGTAACAAAAATAAAGCTGCCTCAGAGACGCTTTCAAGACAAACTACATCCTCCTGCCAAATTTTCTAAAAACAACTTTGGCATGGGAAAGGGTTATTCATGGAGAGCTTTGTGCAGATAGTTAAGTGTGAAGAGATTTGATGGGTTCTTTGATTAGTCCACTGTAATAAGGGATCAGGTCACCAAAAAGGTTATTTCACTGTCACAGTTCAAAAAATAATTTAAAAATAATTTCAACTTCAATTTTGTTCTTCATTTTGTTCACTTAAAGCATCATAATTTATGTTTGATTATAGCCAATTATCCTCCTCTATATTACTTGTAGAGTTAAGATACTGCATTAGGAACAAATTTGGAAACACTCGTATCTATAAGCTCTTTACTTTTAAACTAGCTCTGTCCTATAATTGTATTAACTTTGTATTACTGTTGCTGTATGTTGATTTCAGCCTACTAAAGGATGTCAGAGAAATGTAACTGGGAGATTCCTTGTTTCACAGAAGTCAAGTCTTCAGCAGCATAACACCAGGCAGCCACCTCTGGCTGCACTGTGCTCAGTGATGGCACTTGTCATCTGTTGCTGTAGCTGTTTGCATCGACAGCCAAAAATTCAACATCCTTTTGGTCTAATTCTCCTGTGACAGAATAAGCTATCGCTCCATTTGTCCCGATGTGCTGTTTGGTGTTGGCATCATTGGTAAGTGACTGCAAACATGTTTTTTTGATTTTCTTTGCTACCCTTGCAAAGCACAATAATGTTGAACTAAATATCATAGAAAATCCACACAGGAGGAATGATGCAGTATAGCTGCCAGTTGTATCCACAAGCCAACCTGCAGGGAGGGAAGAAAAATAAATTGACTTTTAAGGTTTCCAGCTTTCTGATAATTTACAAATTCTGTGATCAGCAGCACTGCTGCAGTTTTAGAACATATCACTACAATTAAGCTATACAGATATACATGTCTGTCACTGTTCTTTGGAAGGCAGGTAAGGGAGAAGGAATTTAATATTAGCAGGTAGATAAAAGCTTTTACGGGCTTCTTTTCAGAGGTCAAACCAATGAGAAAAAGCATAGCAGTCATCGCTATAGTACTAAGTAAGTATCTTACATATGTCTTGAGACATGCTTAGGGAACCCTAGGTTTAAATATTGTGTGTGTGAGATCTTCGTATGGAAACATCAAATGAGTAATGCCCTAGGCTCATGCATCATTTAAAAATATTTCATTTTTCACTGTTTTTGCAATTAAAGGCATCAGAAGCAGGGATTAATTGGAAACTGATGTGTTGAGCAAATAAAATATGACACACACACACACACATATATATATATACACACACACACCCTTTTCTAAAAGATTCCTTCCACAATGCTCAAAATTGCATCAAGATCTTTTTACTCATCATTAATTACTTAGAATGACACTGTCAGGAAACATGATGTTTAGTTATTACAGTGATGAGGGCTGCATAAAAGCAAACAGTAATAAAGTAGATTAACCCACCTGTTCAAAGCCCTTGGGAATGGAGAAGGGGAGTCCTCTGGACTAAAGAACTTAGAGAGAAACTCCCTTTAGTTTCATCTTCAAAATGAAGTAATTTCACAAGGAATATTTTGTTTTCACCACCCATGCCACTTCTGCCCTTCAGAGGCCCATGCCACAGCCACTCTTCAAATTTCAGATAGCTCCATGTGTAGAAATCACCCAACAAGACAGTACTTAGCTGGGACCTGCAGTCTCCCAGAAGGTCTGGGTGTGCAATTTCTCTGTTCAGGGGCTACCTTTCCAGGCAGGCTGCATTTGCCTGCTATATCACACCAAAGCCCACCTGCAATTCCTTATGGGAGACTGAAGGGAGAAATGACAAGGCACTCAGTCTCCAGATTCTAGTAAGCCTACCATAGGAAGATCATTCTTACCACTTCAAAGGAAAAATATCGGAACTGTAACTAATTTGTCTAAAATTTTGCAAAAATACTTATCTCAATATTCAGCATTTCAATAGCTTGAAAAAAAAAATCAAGCCACAATACAGTACTTACTCTTAGCCACCAATCTCTATCTCAGTGTCAATGCAGACGGGGGGGATATATACATACATACACACACCTTTTTTTTTTTTTTTTAAAAAAAAAAAAAAAAAAGGGAGGCAAATGCCCTTTTCTTGCAGATTTTTGCTAGTCCTACTGGGATGGGGCAAAGAAGCACATAAGAGCATGTAGTGCTACCTTTATACAATACCCTCCTTTCACTAAGGAGAGATTACTTAACTAGATGAAGTGGTTGGTGCCACTCCTGATGGCTCTGTCCTCCCCTCCTCTGGGGACACAGAAGTAAGGAGAACAGTGCTCTGAGGAGATCATGTGGGGAAGCCCTGACTCCAGCGGGTACAAATCTGGGCTTAGTCTGCCCTGCGCTTTCACCAGACATTCTTCCACAGCAAGAGGATGCTCCATCAGAAGGTAAATGAGAGACACTTGGTTTCCATGACTTTCATTTTCCCAAATGCTATAATCAAAACATAAACCAGTCATCTGATAGCCTTTTTTGACCAGTTCTTGACTAAATGCTGGACATCTCTGCTTTGAATCCAGGTAAATCTAGAATAGCAATGAGATTATAGGAAAGTCACTTGTGAACTGACCTGCAACAGGTGGGCTCACTAGGTATGGAATGGCATGCAGAAAATACACGACACCCAAAGCTGATGATAAGGAAGAAGTTCCCACTACATCTGCTGTCACAACAGGGATCAGTGTTACGTAGGCTCCATCAAAGTAGCCAAAGGTAAATGAAAAAGGCACAAGCAAAGAGAAGTTTTGGAGAACTGGCAGGAAAAGACAACAGAGGCCATCCATTCCCACGGCAAAGAGGTAGCAGAAGTGACGGTACTTCTTCAGACACCTGCAGATTTCAAAACAGGAATGAATAAAAATATAATTGGAGGCAGTATCTCAGTTTCTATGTCCTGACATGTAGCAGTTCAGCCTCTCTCTTTTACATTGACCTTTAGAATTAAGATACTCCTTAGCTCAGCCAGCCTTTTCAGACGTTACAGCTACTGAGCTCGGCAATGGTTGGAATGAGCTGGCTCAATATATGAGTCCTCATATATTGAAAAAAATGTATAACTGCTTTAGGCCAGTCCTTCCGAGCAGTTGTGAGACAACAGTGGGCCAGGCCCTTGTTCCTTTTGTATGTTAACTTCTTACTGGTATCCAGCCTCCCACTGGTTAAAGCTTACATTTATTTAGCCATAAGCCATACCTTCTGTCTGTTAGCCATCCAAAGGTGATATTACCAACAATATCAATGACACCAAGTATGGACATGAGGAAGGCAGCCTGGTGATGACTCACTCCAACAGTCAAAGCATAAGGCACTAAGTAGACAAAAAGAGGGCTACAGCCATAGGCCATAAATAAAACTGACACTGCCAGCACCATGAAGCCTGGCATCAGTAAAAAGTCATATTCTTTCCATGAGCAGTAGCATAAACTTTCGCGGGACCATGCTTTGATTAAAGATGAACAATTGGACATTTGCTTTAAGTCTTGTTTCTGTGCATCAGGGACATAATCCTGTTCGAGAAACTCAGGAGCAGTTTTACTGTCCTCTTTGAGAGCAATAGGCCGCATCAAGGCACCACAGACGCAGAGGTTTAGAACCAAACCTCCCAGGATGAGTAGTGCTCCACGCCAGGAAAAGTGCTCAATTAAAAGCTGGACCACTGGGGCCAAGATGAAGGTTCCAATTCCACTTCCTGACATGGCTATTCCATAAGCCAGCGCTTTTCTTCGGTTGAAATATTTGCCCACCATGGCAATGGCTGGAGAATAACAGAGTGCAAACCCAAGTCCTAGAAAAGAAAGTATAATGCAGATGGCTTAACACTGAGCATGATGCATGGAACACATTAAATTCAACAAACACCTGCTTTCATTAGCACAGCTGAATTGCCCAGTCAGAGTATGAACAGAAACCAGGATGACTCCTTTCTTCCACTGTCAGTGTTACTGACTTGACAAACCTAACAGACCATCATTAACCTATAGCAACAAGACTCAGTAAGGAGTGACAGGGCTCGTTGATAATAGGCACAAGGGCTATCAAAAATATTAGTAAAACTATCTGCCAGCCTGTACTGTACGAGGTCTTAAATGCAGGGCCTGTGCAGCAAAGGTGCTGGGCACACTGGCCTGGTGAGGCACCACTTTGTGTTCAGCCTGTTGCAACCGTGTTCACTGAATTTATGTCTCTGAAACACAGTCTTAGAAATCTGTCTCTATTACCTTATGTCCTACAACAAACCTTTTTGAGTCAGCTAAACGAACTCCACACAGCAGCTGGCTGACATTTGTAAATCCTGCGTACAAGTAAAAGGAGAGGGAAGCCTCGGAAGACAAAACCACACCCAATCTAGTAAATAAATAAGATCCATCTCATAAGCTAGGGAAAAAAGGCATGGCTTCTTCTGAAGAAACCAGAGTACAGAGTTAATCTTCAAATGCTCGCTCTAACACTGACACACATATTCCCCAATCAAACACAGAAACAACTTCCTGACTGGGATTTTGGGGCATGTCCTGCATTCATGTTAAAACTGCCCCCTTTACTAGCAGGGGACATGACCACCTGGAGCTGTGAGCTTGACCACCTGGAGCATGACCACCTGGAGCATGACCACCTGGAGCTTCTAGGACAGGCTAAGGGGATTTCACTGACCCAGTGCAATGGTCCCCTGCTCAGGCACTCATCGGAATGCAAGAAGAGGGACAGGGTCTTGGGCTGGACTCGTCGCAGCAGCAAAGCCTGAGGAGCAGCTCTGTGCTGCACATCAGCATGTGAGAGTTGTGAAAGCTGCACTCGATTTGGGCTATGCACCATTTTACCCTCCACAAGCAAAAGCCTCCCCAAAATCTAATATGTCTTGTGAAAAATAAACAGGAAAACTGGAACTGAAAATGTGTTGATACTTCTCAGAGGGAACTCTGCTATTTATTTCCAGTGCCCCAGCTCCCTCCTGCTTCACTCTTCACAGTTTAAGCCTCACTGCTTTTACAAATCTAGACCTTAGTGAGTTATGCTGCCACCTCCAATCTAAGCTGGTTTCAGGATGGCTCTTAGTGCGTCAGCACCAAATGTTATGATTTTTTTTTCTGCATTAATGAGTCATTAGAGACTAAATTTTCACTGCTTGTAGAATAGGCTCTTTACTACTCCATGTAGCAAGTTCAACTGCTTTCCCACCCCAATAATCATAGTGGTTCTCATAAAGGAAGCCTCAGCGGCATTTGAACGGTATGTGAAATGGTGCTTTGGGTTACAAGGAGCCTTTTTATTTGATACAAACACATTTGTCAAAGATTAACATTGTAATGCAGGAGCGACCTGCACCACAATAAGGACTTTTTTTTTTTCTTAACAAATAAGCTGTTAGCAGCATGTGAACAGCAGTAATTCCACCAACTTGTTACTAAACAGCAGGGCACCAAGTACAAGGGTTTATATCACCGTGGCTACCAGGTCAATATTAATGAGTAAAGAATGTCAGTGTAACCACCAGCCCTTCTCAAGTTCCTCTGTGTACAGCCAACGGAAAGACTGCACAGAGCAAAAGTATTTAGCATCATACCTGAATGCAAAGGGATCTTCAGCTACAGCAACGTAACCAGGAATGTGATACAGATAAATGCAAGGTGTGCAACTGAGGTGCTAGGTATTCCCCCAGTCATCCTCTGTCTGTTTACTCATTTGTTGTTAACATTTTCTAACAGGTAAATATTTGAGGGCACTCAAACTCCTACCACAGCAAACCTCTTGCAAATCACAGGCAAAGTCTTTTTGTGCAGCAGTAGTCCCTCCTGCCATCTCAGCGTTTCAGAACTTGTCCACAGTACTCTCTCAACAGGTATTAAAGAACTGCTCTTGCAGCATGCAGATGTTAGGTTTTATCGGACTCAAGTCATGAAGGACAGCCAAAAGCTCTGCTTTAAAAGGAACCAGACATTTCTGATTCTCTACAGACCAGTGTTTTGACATTGTGAAACAGCAGGGGAGATTACCCCTCTTTTAATGGGAGGAACATCATTTTTAACAATCCCGCATTTACTTTCCTGACTAGAACAAAACACATGAATGCCTCCTACCTGTAAGGGCTCCTAACGATAAGTAGAGATGTTCCAGACTGGTGGCAAATGAACTCAAAATTAGTCCCGTAGATGCAAGCAGCCCTCCTAACATGATACCAACTTGGCAGGACACATGATTACTGATCAGACTCCCGAGTGGGGCTTCCAAATAAAATAAAATAGAAAAGAATAAAAGGTGTTAGTGAACTAGAGGTCCCATGGAACTGAAGAACAAGCAGATATAAAGGACTTGAGAGCAATACACACCACAGAGCATTGTGGCACAGTCTGCAATGGAATGGATCCAAGCCGTTCTGGCATAATCCTGACCAAAGTATGTCTGGAACTCCACAAAAAAAATGGAGATGCACCTAGGAAAGAAAACATGAACACCAATCTGTTAAACACGGGGCAATTGCCCAGCAGAAAACATGTGTGTCACTAATCAGGGAAAACAACTGGATCACAGAACAACACCCAAGTAATATCCCAACAGTAGGATTAGACAGATTAGACTGGTTTAGAGCCCATTTCAGACAGATCAGGCTAATACAGAGAGATTATTAACATTAACAGCAAGACTGTCAGTATGGCATTTGATGCCAGATTTTCACAACTGCTTTTTTTTTTCTTTGAATTGAAATAAAATGGAAATGTGCACTTATCACCAGCAATTTGTATCCTATATTAGGATATTGCTTCCCTGATACCCAAAGCTCTAGTGCCTGTTCTTGACCCACCAGGCTGCCATGGAGTGGTGGCATTCACAGCTGTGAAAGCCAGAGCAACAGGGCCACCATAGCACCTATAGAACCAATACCACCTGTAGCCATGTGTAAATGAGAGCACAAGTGCAAAACCACAAGAACTGAAATGCAAAATCTCATGGATAAAGATATAAAATATGGCAGGAGCCCACGGACCTTCGAAAAGTTTTATTAAAATGTTTCCAGGACAAGTTAGTTTGCTTTCCTAACATGATTACTGTTCCACCCATCTCTGCAGGAGAGTGGATTAAAAGGCTGCAGAGTTTCTCTCTAGGTTCTGAATAAGCAGAAGAGGCCCCTGTTCCACTCTCTCCCCACTCCTGCAAATCAAGGGTCACTTCAGCTCTACCCTTGCATGCATGTACCCTGGAGGTGCACCAAGCGTTAGATGTTTCCATGGATGCAAAGTGTTTCACATATGAAAAAGGAAAGAAATCCACTAAGGAATTTCTGTTATTATTATGGGGTTGGTACATTCCACACAGAATCACAGAACAGTTGAGGTTGGAAGGAATCTCTAGAGATCATCCAGTCCAACCATCTTACTCAAGCTTGGGCACTGAGAGCATGTGGCAAAGGTCCCCATTTATACTGTTTATTCCAAGATCTTAGACTTTAGATTACTAAATCTGGCAGACTTTTTTTTTTTTTTTTAAATATGTATTTTAAGTAGGAAAACAAGATATTATCTCTGTCCCCTACACTTACTTGGATGCCCGTGTCTCTGTTTAATATAGCTTAAATGTCCATGTTCATACAGACCATCCTCCTTGGTGTCTGACTGACAAATAAAATCACTCAACATCAGCTGTAGAAGCCATACTGCCCCCAACATATATATTGCACTTATACAGGACAGAAGACTATTTCTGTTCCTTCTATTTCTGAGAAATACAGGAAATATTTCCTGCATATTTAGGATACCAGAAGTAAACAGAGAGGGGCCTCTCTAGGTCACTGACCCTCTCGGGCTGGTTAGTACCTGAAATAGTTGTAGTAAGAGGGAAGATTATTTACACATTTCCGAGACAGACTTGGAAGGCCAGCAAATCCTCTGGAACTGGCAACAATGACCATCACTGTCAGGTTCCAGAGACACAGTGGACATGAAGAGACCCTAAACGATTCCTCCCTCTCCTACCAAACCACTACAGTCTTAAGTAACACTGTCTGCTTGAGACTTTCATTCTGAAAAAAGTGATATATATAATATATATCTCAATGAGGGCATGTTGAGATACTACAGCTGTCAGACCAGGCACAAATAAAATCAGAGGGATCTTTGCCTTTAAAAACACAGCAAAATAGAGGTTACGTGTCCAGACAGAATCAACCCCATCAGCTGTGGGCCACTACAAGAGTTCTCAAATCTATTCCTTTCCTGGGCAGGGAAGGAGGGGGAAGAAAACAAACAAATAAAAAAAACAAAAAACAAGAAATAATAAAAAAAGCCAAAGATGTTACCTTGTCACAGCCCTGGTGCAGATGGTGACAAGGAAGCAACCGGCCACAATCATCCATCCCCAGCCGCCGTCGGGAGGGGACCCGCGCGGCGCCCTCCGGGGCGATGCCATGGGGCTGGGGCCAGTCCTCCCTCCGCCGCCGCTCACGGGAAGGGGCAGGTGGCAGCCGGCATGCTGAGCACGCGCGGGGATCACCTGGCGCATGGGTCACTTGCCATCTGAGGAGAGAACGAGAGAAAAAAGGCAAAAGGGGAAAGATGAGAATGCAAAATCGCACTGTTGAGCTAGAAAATGCCATTTTGCTCATATCGCATAGAAGAGATTTTTTTCTTCGAACACAGTTCATCAAAAGTCCTTAGAAGCAAGCCTGTGTCATCAAAACCTGGCCCAGTATCTGGCATCAGTTAGTGCAGAGTAATTTCCCTAGCAGTTTCACTCTAGCACATTAGCCCCACAAATGTGACAGAGCAAACACTGAAGGCGCATACTTTGCTGGTGCCAATCACTGCAGCTCCTTTAGCACCTAACTTGAATGCAATTTGGCTTGAAATTTATCTTGATTTTGCGAAGAATCTTCCTCAGAAATATCTATACTCTCTTGTACACAGTGTCTCATCAACATCTTTCTGACAAATTCACTTGAACAAGCAGAGCAAGGAAGTGCTGTGCATGATGTGGCTACCATGCTTTGGACAAACGCTGCATGGCCCTAGGCCATTCAGATACAGTTCTATCGTACTTGTGTAGCACCCTGGCAGGGCAAGACTTCTCATTCTAGATCTGAGCTATACAATCTGAGCACTGCCCACCCTGAGAGAACAAAAGTTTTAATTGATAATGAGAATCTGAAATGAGTGGAGAGCAAATTATCCTCTGCAAATAAGTCAAATAGCTGACGATGTTAGAATCATAAAACCTTTTTTTGCAGAGGAAATGATCAACTCTATACTGTCCAATAACTGCAACACACACAACTTCCACAACAACATCTTGGCACTTTTGGTGTTGATATGCAGCTGGTGAGGTACCTGTTTATTAGTGAGAGCAAAATAGCATCAAAATTCTTTCAGATACTAATCATATTTCTAAAATATGCATTAGGACATAGTGGGCAGGTCATAGTTGTGGAAGGAACTGCTTCTGTTCCCTTTTTTTGATTTACAATTACATTATTACTTCTGATTTTTTAAGTTATTAATTTTGTCAAACATTCCTTATTAATGGTTGAACTTTAAAATATGTGATATTCCAATCATTTACTGAGTTCAAGGAATCATAAATGCACTCTTCTGTATCAGGCACTTATTAACATCCCATTATATCCTTAAACAAATATTAACATATGATCATAATTGTTTGGAAATGCTGAAAAAGCTTTTTATTTGCAGAGGCCTTCAGCTGACAGTTTTCCCACACTCGATATATTAATTTTTTCCATAACCAGGAAAACGTTGCATGAGAAAGAGCAACACTACAAAGTTGTTACCGTACATGTGGCAACAGGGAGCTTTTTCTCAGACCTACTAGTGGTCAAGTGTGTGAAAACTGTTACTCGCCCCTCCTTTTGCTAACGTACACCAGATTCTGCTCTGGGGCTACCAAAGGAAAAAAGAGGCAAGTGCTCTCCTACCTCGCCCCTCAAAGGGGAAGGAGGCTGCTCCGAACAGCCCCACGAGTGCCCAGGCATGAGCACTGCAGACTGCAGAGAGGGGAGCGCTGAGCACGGCAGACACAAAACGTCCCGCACTGGGATGGCCATGAGCTGCCTGTGTCTCCGTGCGCACGGAGCCCGGCCCCGCGGCCACCCGCTCCGACCGAGGCGCTGCTCGGCGCGGGGCTGCCGAGGAAGCAGCGCGCGGACGGCTCACTAGTGTGCTCTCAGAACACACACTGCTGCTTCGAGCTCTTTTGCAGCCATCATCCTTTCAGCCCTTCCTTTTCATGGAAGGGCCTTATTACAGTTAGGAAAAAAATCATTTGGCTTATAATGTCCCCAAGGTTCCTGGCTTGGTTTTTAGTAAAATAGGAGCTACGCTTTAAAAAAGGTATCTTCCTTTGCTACTGAGGCTCTGTGCACTTAAAGAACAGAATTCTAAGGTTTTAAGAATTTACAGGAAAAAAGTACTTTTCGGTTAGTTTTCAAGATGTAAATCAGACAAAATTGCCCTTTCAAAGGGAACAGAGATGACTATTTTAAAAAACAAATTCTGTATCTATAGATCAAGTTATCCAGATTACCTCTGTTTATCAGGTGTTCTACTGCTGCTGTGCACATCAGTCCATTTTCCTTCAAAATGCAGGATTTGTTTGCAAAAACTAATCAGGCATGCAAAGGCAAGGCAGGTTATTTCCTTTCATTCACACAAGCTTATGATTCAAAACAAATCTATTAGGCTACTTAATGCTGCCATGTGCTATTCTAATGGAGAATAAGCACCATATAAGACCAAACTGTCACCATCACCATTATTTTCCCTTAGGAAGCTTGCAGCTGAGACCATGAACCTTGTGAAATTACGATAACCTTAGTGGTATCTCAAAACCACTATTAAGTTTTCCCTTTAATAATGATAACATAATCATTGTATATACAGTGGTAGATCATTATAGTTCCCCAAAATAATGGAAGAGAATCATTAAATATGGAAAAAAAAAAAAAAAGATTTTAAGAGGAAGGGAAAAAAGAGAACAAAACCAACCCCACAAACAAGCCTGCTGTTTCTTGGAACTGGCTGGCTTTGGACAGTGTGTACTGATGATTATTGCTTCATGGAGTTAGGCACTTCTCAGAAGTAACTGGCAGATCACAGCTATGCTAAGCAAAGCCAAAACAGCATGGCCATAAGGATATACCAAAGAAAAAATCTCTGGATAGTTAAGTGCATGTGTATGCCATTGTGCTGATAAGGCTACAGAATAACTCTGTGATGACCCCTGTCTTAAAAATGCTGTGTAACATCTACAAAAAAATAAGTGAGGTTACTAGGAATCTGCATATATCACGCACGCATATAAAGGTATAGTTTGATAAACTACTTCTAACTTGCATAAAACCACCCGACTATGATTGAGGGCAATATCATGTACAGCATGAATATGACTAAGTGTGCAAAACAGTCAAATATATATAACACATATCCTTTCAATACATATGAAGTTTTTCATATTCCAAGAACTTATAATGGACTAAATTCCCTTGCATTTTCAAAAGCCATTCCAGGCTTAAATCGAGCTTCAGCACCTCCCAGGAACAACAATCATAGTCTCAGACTCTTGCAAAGGCTTTTCTATTTAACTTCATTCTTACAGCAATTTATTACCAGCAATATGAAGACTGGGGGGGGGG